AATAGCTAATCAGATTTTAGATAGTCGCCAGCTTCACCATCAACTCTAGTGTGGACACTTCTCAGGTTAGGGCAGCTACCACGTTATACGTCGTGTAAATACCCATTTATTGCAATGCCACCGATTATTCCATGTTCTAACGTCTGCGCACTATATTCAATGTTATAACAAACGATTACAAAATTGCCTCATTCAAGATACGAAAGAGAGATTAATTGTGCACACCGTTCTGCGCTCAAATTAATCATAGAAGGAGATGGAAATGCAAGCTGGCCTATGGTTTTATGTGTGTCTAATATATTTGAAGATCCTGACGTTCAAACAACGATTCCATTAGGTATGTTAATTTGAAGTTATGCACGTATTACATTAATTCATTGCTATTCACATGGCTTACTGCATTCTTTTTTTTTTACTTATATGTATAGGAAAAAAAGCTGAAACATGTAAAATTAAATATGGACTTGAGTTGACAGATACATGGTATAAAATTCGGGCCAGTATTGATCAACCGCTTCAGCGTGCCATTATGAGATCAAAAATACGGATTGGATATAAATTAGAAATATATGGGGCCAAAGTATTTTCACTTCGCAGATATTAATGAATATCCTTTTAGACCGAATTGAATTATAATATGTCGTTTGTTTCATAGATTGTAGGGGGATCCACTGGGTTACCTGCTCTCGATATATCGGGCTCTCCTATTCGATTAGACATTTCTGCAAATTCTACTAAACTTGCACATTGGGATGCAAAATTAGGAGTTGGACGATTTCGTTCGTACGCGTTATTACACAGTCTTTCTCCTGATGGTGGATTTATTCCTGCGATTGATGTAGTAGTTCAACGGAAGTACCCACTACTTTTTCGCGAGACAATGAAGGATGGAACCGCAATTATACGTAATGCAAAGGGTGAAGAACATGCTATGAAGGAACATGAAGTATGTGGATGTGTTTTGGAAATTATGTATATGTATATTCCATAAGATATATGAGTTCCTACGTTAATTACTGTAGGTGAAATTTAGTGCATTGATTGAGTCACTGATAAGTAAATTCGAAAAATCATATAATGATGATTTAAAAAAAACAAATAGAAAACGATTATCGAAAGAAGGTATGGAATGCTACTAAAAAAATTTATGTAATGCATAGTATGCTTAGTAAAACTTTCTTATCGTTTAGAACTTCAGAGCATTACAGCTGGTGATGAACTTTATGCCCTTATTCAAAATAGTGGTGACATTTCCGAATTTTCCCAAGAATTAAGTTCTTTGCAGATTGAACGACTTCATGAATATATCCAACGGAGAAATGAAGAAAAAGCAGTCAAGATGAGCCAATGGATTTCTGAACAATCTTTGGTAATTTGATTATATCATAGTAAAAATATTATTTAATGAGTATTAAACTATAATTTACTTCTTGCATTAGTATGTAGAAAATAAACGTACAGTTACGACTTTTTTTAAAATTCGCGTGTGTGATTATCATCCGTATTCATCACCTATTCATGGACGTGACGCTATAATCACTATTTGGAATCCTGATGAATTTTTGATTAATTATCTACAGGAAGGACGTCGATACAAGGTGAATATCAAGTTAGTTAAGCGTATGATATGTTATTCCTTTTAACGGTAACTTTTTTTTTATACAAGATATACGCATTAACAGTAGTAAAAAACCAAGGATATCCATTACCGGAATTGTTACCGATACGGTTGATGTCAATTGGAAGGTCAACTATTTGGAAAGAAGCTCCAATAGAATCGAATATTATTACGTCATATATGCCGCGAACTGTTACACTTTGCAGTGAACTTGATAGGATGAAGTACAATGATGAAGTCGACATAGTCGTAACTCCTCTGGGTAATATATAAATTATCTGCAATAATGGCATTTATGTCGAACAGTATTATAAACATCATAATTTGTGGTTGTATTAGTTGTAGGCGAGCCTTATTTTAGTGACCAATTCGGAAAACAAATCCAATTTCAAAACATTTTGGCACTTGATAGTAGTGAACAGATCGTACAAATAGAAGTTAAAGATTCGATATCAGTCGGTATGGGCAAAATATCGAAGGTATACCATTATACATATAAATGGAGTTCTATTAATTTAATGAACTAGACTAATATCAACTTTCGAAACAGCCTAAGAATACTCTCGCTTTTAGCAATTTGCGATACCGTAACTATGACCCGAAGTATGCGGTTTATATTTTATCGTCATGTGATGAAACAGAAATCAAGATGTCACCATGTGAAACGTATTTAAGACAAGCCATGGACGATTTAGAAAATTGGATCACGAGTAATGCTTCAGTTATTTCCAAATACGAAGCAATTGCAATGGAGCTTTGCAAGTCTCCATTTGATAATGACATTCCCTAATTTCTAAATAACGTGAATTAATAAGCATTTGTAAATTAATTATAATCCGTTTTGAACAAGAATCATGACGTATATTTGCTATTGTTATTAAATACTTGATTTATTAGAACTAAAAAGCCTTGATAGAGAAACATGTAGCTGAATATTTATACAGTCGCACCTCCCTAAGTGCATCCCGTCGGGACCATAGTGAAAAAAATTAAAATTTTGCACTTAGAGGAGGTT